TTTATTGTTTTTATAGTTTTAATCAATATTTTGGTAACACTTTACAATAAGGTCTCATTTGTTAACATTAGTTAATGCATCAACTAACATTGAACAGTATATTTTTACAGCATTTATTAACCTTTTTAATGTTAGTTCACAGTACATTCATATTAACAGTTACAACTTGATTTTAATAATGTATTAGAAATTTGTTGAGATTAACATGAACTAAGATTAATAAATATATGTATATGTATACGTATTGTTGATGTTAACTAATATAGTTAAGCAATGTTAACAAACTATTGAAAATTTTAACTAATATTTTACATTTATTTTTATTTGGTTTTCATTTAAGTTTTTAGTCATTTTGTTGTTTTGTCAATATAATTTTTTTAATGTGCATATTTTAAAAATATTTCAGTTTTAGTTAAAGTTTTTTTTAATACTTAAATTATAGATTTTATTTCTTTTATATTTTATTTTATTTCAGTTAATTTTTATGTATTTTTTATTTAAGTTTTAGTTTGATTTATTTTAGTACAAAAGTTTTTTTTTATATTTAATTTTATTTCAAAGTTTACGTTATTGCATGTAAAAAAATTACATTGTTTTTAAATGTCTCTATATTTTCTGTTTTTTATTTCAGTTTTCATTTGAGTTATTTTAGTTAAATTAAACTAGATATGGCAAATATAGCGGAAATAAACTTTTTTATATTTCATATGAAAATAATTATCTGAAAATGTCTTTAAGATATATATATATATATATATATATACACATATATATATATAAGACAGCAGGTTGTGTTTAAAAATGCTGTTCAATCATTTATGAATTATGAATATATTACTAGTAGTGCGTAAACAATAAGTCAATCATATAGATTCTAAAATTACTAGCAACCACATAGCAGCATCCTGGCCACATCTGTCCACATCTCCGGTCATATTTTAGTCTGAAAGTGCAGAAATGTAGCTGTATGTTGTGAATGGAAGAGCACAGACTCAGTGAGTGTGATTTTGAGCTCAGCATCGCAGGAAACTGGGTCAGAGCACTTCCTCTATTCAGCGCCATATGCTACTCCACCACACCCTGAGGGAACACACACACACAAACACTCACACACACACACACTCTCACACACACACACTCACACACACACTCTCACACACACACACACAC